TTTTTCAATACACACTTTTGCTTACCTATGGGTTTGCCGAATTACAGAAGATGTTTGGACAGCCTGGAGCCTCGTTGTTATTTTCCTAATTTTTTTAACTGAGTTTTTCTAAAACAGACACCAGCTCAGATGGATAGAGAGCTGCTGACTGGGATCACTTTAATATATAACTGATAGTGTATTTTTCATGCTTTCCCACTGATGGGCCACCTTCATTCAAAGGGTAACTTAAAGGGGACCTATCATGCAAAATGCACTTTTGTACATCTTTTATACATGAATATGTGTCCCCGGTGTTCCAGGGAACTCACCAAGTGTCAGAAAACACAACCCTCTCTCTTTTCCTCCATACCCAAATCTCTAAAAAAGGGGCTGCAACGGATCTGATAAAAACTGATCCAGATTTGAACACTGTCCTGACGTCAGGACAGTGGCGCTACGGCTATTGGGCCAACTCCACCAATCAGGAGGAGACAGCCACGGCCATTGCCGTTCGAAAGCGCTGGAGACCCTGTAGTACATATGCCAGGCCTGTAGGTGGTGCTGTTCTCACCGAATCAGCCCTTGCTAAAAAAAGTGCAAATTGAGCGAAATGAGGCATGGCTAAAATGCATGATCTGTTTGGTATTTTGAAAAATAAAAAGTATAAATATGCCTTATATAGGTATGGTCCTACACTATATTATTCAAATATAGCATGATAGGTCCACTTTAAGTTTAATAAAGGGTATTAAAGTCACTATAACATGTTATTAGAATTGTTACATCAACAATGCATAATAATGTGAAAGCGCTTTAATGCTGTAGTAAGTCGACTTGAAGCTAATTCAACTTAATATTAAGATTTCAGAAGGATATTTTTCGCCCATTTTCCTAATTTGCAATCTTATTGGTTCTTGTAAAAAGTAAGATTAAAAAGTAGCCTACACAATGTAGTGAAGGAGAAGTACCTTACATTCTAATTAAAGCTATGTTTTTTTTAGTACAGAATTCTGTGAGTGTGTTGCCTCAGGCGGTACCGAAGGACAAAGAGGACATTTTGTAATCAAAAATACTTTAAAGTGCTCATCTGAATAATGCAACTCAGTCTGCTGAGGCCTAATATTAACTTTTGTTCAACTTTGGAGAACATATTTATCAACCGCCTAATGTTTTATGATTAGCATTGGATGTTCAAAAGGTGTTCATTCAGTGTTAACAGGAGGAACGATAATGTCGAGACACATTTGACTTATTATTTGAAGAATTACTTTAATACTGAGAAACTGTCTGTTGATTAGTACACTAAAAAACTGAAACATTGACTTTAATTAAATGTATTATGTCACCAAGTTTCACATAACTCTATTAGGTTAGTTGAAAGCAATAATATTAAGTTTAAATGAATATTGGGTTCAACTTAATATTATTGGTTTGAACTAACCTTATACAGTTATGTGACATTTGTTGACATAATACATTTAATTCAAGGTCTCCTATCATGCAAAATGCACTTTTGTATGTCTGTTATACATAAATGTGTCCCCGGTGTGTAGGAGAACTCACAAAGTGTCAGAAAATAAAACCCTCTCTCTTTTCCTCCGTACCCACATCTCTAAAAACGGGGGTACAACGGAGCTGATCCAGATTTGCTGCCGATATCACGTAATATTGGAAATGTGGGCTGGCTTTACACCAACGGCCCTATCAGAAACATCGCTATCAGAAACAATTCGCAACGTAATATGATCTGTGTTTACATTAGCAAGCATCGCTAACACTCAGAGCTAACGCTTTACTGGAGAGAGTATGTGTAAAAAAGCAGGATATAAAAAGGAACTCACCTTGTGGTAAACCTGCAAGAGAAAAAGCATTTGAGCTCCATACTGTTTCAGAAATAATCCTTGTGGGGGAAACTTCTGAACCAATTGGAAACAGGACTCAGAGAGACACGAGGAGAGCTGGAGCTTTGATGGCAAACACTGATGGTTTATTTGTCACGGGCCACGAGTTGACCACACGTTTGAGATGCCACAATCAATTCTGAAGAACTATTCTGTAGTTCCAGGTCTTAACTAGTTCGGAGTGTAATAATCAACATTCTTTATCAGCGAGACTAAACAAATATGGACACTGAATCTAACTAGAGCTGTCGTCCATAGAAAAGAATGTGCCTAAAAAGAAGGGCTTCTAGATGTCCCTGAACAGTAAACTACCTCATGGCGGCTTGTGCTCGGTCATAAGCTGGCAACAACAATGTGCCCAAGCTGCCCCTCCTTAAGAGAGATAGCAGCAATACCCAAGGTTGTAGACCTATGCCGTGGGAAAGGAGACAGTGACAAGAGGAAAATTATGAACTGTGTCAAAGGTTGAATACCTAAGCAAATTATTCCCCAACAATCCTTGATGTGGTTTTGAACTTGATGTGGTTTTGAACATGATATGGCGTTTAATCACAGCAGCATTTAGCTGAGTATCTGGGTAGTACCCAGAATCAGCACTTTAGTAACAGGGCTGAAATAGAGGGGTATGAGGCATGGCTAGAATGGGTGATCTGTTTGGTATTTTGAGTAAAACACTTCATAGACATGATTTTTATATATCTGAGACCTATAATGTATGCCTAAAAACAGTATAATAGGATACCTTTAAAGTCAATCATGTTTCAGTTTTTTCAGTGCAGGCAGCATTTTAATGTTGTTGTCTGTTGATGTAGAGCTTCCTTAACTCACTGTTATACATTTCGTTAACTCACCATTGTTGTTAATGCTATGTTCTTAATTTGAAGTCAGAGTAGCTGTCAGAAATATGTAGATAAACACCATTACTGTGACATTTGACTGAAGTGTAGTACTTAGTTCTTGAGTCCACACCACTTATTCCCTCAAAATCAAGTGATATTCTCTTGTTTTTTCCATTGTTCACAGGACCTGGTGGGCCTCTCACACTTTGGAGGCTTTCTGCTTTATCCCTACTCCAGCTTCCCTGCAGCCTCAGCCCATTACCTCCTCCCATCAGTGCGGTCCAGGGTGGATCTCAGAGCATATCCAAGCATCCACACTCAGGATTACATCCCCTCTCCTATGATGTCTTCCTTTGTTCCTGCTTTGGGTGGTGGTGGATTTAAATATCTCGCCCCCAATTTGCTTATGCTACCCAAAACAGACCAGGACTCAGTAGAGGACGCTGAAACTGACTGAAATCAAGACGAGTCGCAAACAGGGTGAAAGTACTGAGAGCAGTTACTGCTGACTTAAAGTGTCCCTGCATGTTCAACCCTATGTTCAGAATCCAAAGGCTGTTCACTTGCTATGATAGTACTGGACATCAAGTATTGGTAAAGTCTGAAAATTGTGTTGTAAAAACCCAATAGTGTGTATTGGTGAAGTTGCATTGTGGGTGGATAAAGCTCAACCTTTAACCTTAGCTTAACTCACATTTACTTGAAAAGGAACAACTTCCACAGGACTCCAATAAAAAAGAAAGCTAAAACAAAGTATTTTTTTCGACTGAAATACAAATGTTTACAGCATCGTACAAAAAATGGTTTTGGTCGGTGAATTTCCTTATTAAAAGCCTACATGAAAGTGCCAATAACTGCACGTTCATCGAAGGGTCACTTGAGGCTTGCTCCAAAAGGAAGGCAGCCCTCGTGTTAAAATGCCGACTGTAGAGCAGAAATGATAATGTTTGCTGCCTCCTACAAAATGTTTTAACTATATTAAGTCCTAAAGTGTCATGATGTAGTATGTGCCGCTGTGAAGGGAACGTGAGAGGCAGGCTGCACCACTGTGTTGATGGTCGGTGAATTCTCTGTGTTGGCTATGTTGTTTTGTGGATTCGGTTTAATTTGCTGCATGACGAGATGATCGTGTGGTTGTTGTGGTGCTATGCTGAAGAAGTTGTGTCTTTTTGCAGTCTGTTTGTTGTGAATACAAAGGGTATGAGTTGTGGGTCTGTCAGGTTAGGTGTGTGGTTTGCTGAAGATTTTGGGAGGGAGCTCCTGTTCCAGAGCAGGACTGATTGGGTTAAGGTTTAGCGTTGACATGACAACCTATAGTTGGGATCAGCAGGCAGAGTTGCAGTCGTAAACGCTTCTCTGCCCTTCCATTAGGGCAGTATATTCCACTAAAAACCCCAACAAACTCATTATTTCCTTATATTTGTTAGGAAAAAGTACACCAAGCTGTTTTTGGAAAGAACTAGTAGAGCTGTACATAATAGTTTTATACTTTTTCATTGTGTTCAAACCCAGTTTTATTGCACAGATGACGCTAAAGATTAAACTTATACTAGAATTACCTTCCAATGGTGGCTGCTTAGCATTGTTTCCAATAGGAGTGATCCATACATTTCCAATAACCCCAGAGCGTCACAAAGTCCAAAGACAACTTAAGAACATTTTTCAATTTAATCAAAACCATGGTTCTATTTCGTCCCTACTGACCGCCAGAGGCGGTGCTTTAGCACTGGATATGTCCATTGCACGCATGCGCAGCTCGAGTACCAATAACAACAAAGTCACCTGTGACGCTGCTAGGTAAGCAAGTGTTTGGATTCTTCATGACATTGTTGACATCCAGTGCTAAAGCACCGCCTCGGGCGGTCAGTAGGGACGAAATAGAACGATAGTTACGTCTGTAACTATCGTTCAATGAGTCCCGGATGACCGCCAGAGTATCCTGTCACTCAGAATTATTGTGTGCTCGCGAGAAGATTCTGGGAACAGATCCTCTGACGACACCGGCATATATAGCCGGTGTCACGTGGGTTACAGGTGACTTTGTTGTTATTATTATTATTATTATTATTGGTACTCGAGCTGCGCATGCGCGCGATGGACATATCCAGTGCTAAAGCACCACCTCTGGCGGTCATCCGGGACTCATTGAACCGTAGTTACAGACGTAACTATCGTTTTATCCAATCAAATATTCTGCTCCCATGAATATTTGTTGTCTTTTCAAAAATGACATTCTCACTGGTTTACACTCTGTTGTCGCAAACAAAGGGATCTAGGCACCTGTATTAACAGTTTATACATTATATACAAATCATACATTTATATAACCACACTAACAAAAATCCTTGTTTTCCTTTCATTGTTTTAGGGTGATGACATCAGAAACGATATGGACAGACCTTTAAAGCTTTGTTAACCTTAAAGGGGTCATATTCTGCTCATTTTAAGAAACATGACATCCAGCTATTGTGTTAGAGCGCTAGCGAATCGAAGCACACGTTTTACATAGTGATATCATTATGTAACGGAAGTAAACAAAATTCCAATGGAGGCGTCTCAGGCAGGGAGAGAAACTCCCTCTGGAGGGAACACAGGGATTAGTCTTTACGGAGCATTCATTTGCACAAAAACCTATAGAACACACTACAGGAAAGTATAAAAACCCAAATAGCATAATAGGGCCCCTTTAATAGAAGTAAAAGAAGTACAGCACTGGCAAGGTTTTACGTCTTTAGTGGGAATATGTTATGTTTCAGATGTTCTGCTGGAACACCTCTCTGTTGTCCCAGTTAGTGTCGCTAAGCAGCCAAGCACCTCAGAACTGCAACAGCTGCTGTCGACCTGTCGAAGGAGAGGCTGAGAGACAGACAGACACACAGACAGACACACAGACACACAGACAGACAGACCCACACAGACAGACAGACAGACAGACACACAGACAGACACACAGACACACAGACAGACAGACAGACACACAGACAGACAGACAGACAGACACACAGACAGACAGACACACACACACACACAGACAGACAGACAGACAGACAGACAGACACACACACAGACAGACACACAGACAGACACACAGACAGACACACAGACACACACACAGACAGACAGACAGACAGACAGACAGACAGACAGACAGACAGACAGACAGACACACAGACAGACACACAGACAGACACACAGACAGACACACAGACAGACACACAGACAGACACACAGACAGACACACAGACAGACAGACACACAGACAGACACACAGACAGACACACAGACAGACAGACACACAGACACACAGACAGACAGACAGACAGACACACAGACAGACACACAGACAGACAGACACACAGACACACAGACACACAGACAGACAGGTGAGTGTCTTCAGAAAGGACAGTTTATCTTCAGTTCAGGTGAGTGTCAGCAGGTAAACACACCTGCAGGTCTCCGTGGCAGCAGCTGTCCATCAGCTTCAGACAGAGAGACGTCTCACCCATCAGCTTCTGTCTCACTGAGTCACTGAGCTGACCGTCTGAGGACACAGCAACCAGCAACTTCAACAGGCAACGCAGCAACACAGCAACACGACACGCCATCCTGAGAGAGACCGGCAAAGAGACAAGGGACCAATACGTTAACAAGAAGATATAATCTAAATGATGCCCAATAACACTATATTCAATCAACAAAATGCATTCAGGTCCTTTCAGACGGTGATTCAAGTGTTCAAGCTGCTTACTCATGGTCCTATCAGATCTCACTTCCAGCTCAGTTAAAGCATGTCCAATTTAGGTTCAGAGATGTCCACTACATAGCCAAAGTGCCCCCTGCTCTGCACAACACCTCAGTGACTGCTGATCCTGCCCAGCAGAGGGGGTCCAAACATCCTTTATACTTTACCCGGATCTTTGCTATGAACCCTAGGCTGTAACCAAAAGCACTGTTGCAAATACTGCTGTTCAACCCAGTTATAAACCTTGTCAATTCGCCAAAGACTTCCCAAAAGTGTAAAATTAGAGCAATAATATCACTTATTGACCACTGTGTGGTAACTTAAAGACCTAAGTAAGTGATTAATTGACTTTCCTTGTATCCCATCCAATAAAAGCACTTTTACACATCATGTCAATATCCACCCATTAACACACACATACAGTACACTGATGTGTGCATACATAATGCATATGTTGATGGAAGGCTGCCATACTTATCTAATGCTCATTCGCACCAATGACTATGACAACTGTGAAATGAATTTTACAGAGGTCTTTGTAGAAAAAACTGTAAGAGGGTTCGACAGGTTGGCTAAGGCAGCCTTCTGGGCAAATATTATCAGTTGATTGGATGGGAAAAAATGGGGAAAAAGGACTTCTGTAATACACAATCTGCTCGTTTAACAACACTCAACTTTGGCCACATCAGCTACAAAAAGGACAAAAGGGACATGTGGGAGCAGGATTTTGGACACTTGAGTGAGTGAGTGAGTGAGTGAGTGAGTGAGTGAGTGAGTGAGTGAGTGAGTGAGTGAGTGAGTGAGTGAGTGAGTGAGTGAGTGAGTGAGTGCGTGCGTGAGTGAGTGAGTGAGTGAGTGAGTGCGTGAGTGGGTGAGTGGGTGAGTGAGTGAGTGAGTGTGTGCACTAACCGTGGCCAGGCGGCTTTGGTTATTTTCTGCAGGACTTCGAGGATCTTCAGTCTACTCGTCTCTTCAGGTGGATCTGTGATCTCCAGGTATCCAAGCACCACTCGCTCCACCTGCCGTAGGTGTCTGCACACCGCCACGCCCATCCTGACCCCGCACACAAAACAAACGTTCCCTTACACACTGCTGCAACACCACCAGCGAGCACATATCAAACGCTCCTACCTGTCTATGTACAGAGGCAGAGCCGAGGCGTAGACGCGCCGCCGCTCCAACTTATGCTCCGCCTCCATGTGAGTCAGGACCAGACGGAGCACGTCGTCATGCCGACAGAGCTTCCTGCGTGATGAAGAGGGGGTGAGAGAGGAGGGGGGCTTCTCCAAAACCACCAACAAGTCCAAGAGACAGGATAGGACCGACTGCAGACAGACAGAGAGAGACAGACAACGTAATACTTCATTATATATTCTGCTGACTCAAATGTTAATTATAAAGTAAATATTGTATTCAATGTTTAAATTGCTTGTGTTTTGATAGGCTGGACAAGCATAACGTATATTTATATTGTGTATTCAATATATATATTCTATAGATATACAGTATATCCTTCATTATTGATATGTATATATTCACTGTTTTGAGTATTTTGTTTATCTTCTACTGCTGATATGTATCTTATTGTTTTTTTGTTTTTTTTTCATATTATTTTCTTTTTGTATTTTCTTCTAATTCATGTGCAATGTTTTTTCTTAATGCTGCTGTGACGAAAACATGTCCCAAATTGGGATCAATAAAGTATATATTTATCTTATGTTATATTTGAACACATGCAAAAGGAAACAGTTTGGAATATATTCTTTTTACACCGATATAAGTTCCACTGTGAGGTGGCATTGGGATATTTCTTTTTTAAATCCTCTGGAGCAGAGGGGAGCTGTGGATTATTGTTATTGATTACTGGGTCAGTGTTTCTTAGGGTCAAAAACACTAAACTCACAACTTCAAATGAAAGCGTTTAGTTTATTTAATAAAAGAGCACATGTTCAATGTGAATAGTGACAGTGGATATAGATTAGTTGCAATTTGGTGCAATATATATATATATATATAAAAAAAAGAAAATTATAATATAAAGAATTATAATTTCTTTCTTTTTTTTTAAACACCTTGAATTTCAGAGCGTGAATATTAGAAAAAACTATCATAATAATAATATAATAATACAACTTTATTTATATAGCACCTTTCATGCAAGATGCAGCCCTAAGTGCTTTACAGAGTAACGACACGATACTTAAGAAAGAGTGAAGAACATAATTAAAAGCAAGTTATAAACAAACAGAAAGAGTTATATCACAGAACCATAAAACAATAAAACATGAACAGTGATACAACTATAACTACCCAAATTAAAAAGATAGGTCTTTACTTTATACTCCAATGGAGTTTGCTATTCCAAGATCCAATGGGAGGCTGTTCCACAGCTTGGGGCCATAGACACAGAAAGCAGCCTTTCTTGTAAAATGCTCTAGGTACTTCTAAAAGAAATGCATAGGAGGATCTGAGTGTCCTTGTAGGTCTGTCAAATGAAAGGCAGTCACTGATGTGTGTAGGGGCAAGGTTATGTAAAGACTTGTAAATCATTAAAAGCACTTTAAAATCTATTCTGAAAGACACCGGTAACCAGTGCAGGGATGCCTTCACAGGGGAAATGTGTTTCAGTGTTTGTTATAAATACTGGCCGCAGCATTCTGAATTTATTGCAATTTCTTTAAAGATTTTTATGGGAGACCAGTTAAAAGAGAATTGCAGCAGTCCAAGCGACTAGTAATAAAAGCATGTAAAACCAATTTAGCAGCGTGTTAAAAATGGTCTGATCCTGGCAATGTTCCTTAGGTTGAAAATTGAAGTTTTTGCAACATTGTTAATAAAACATATGAGTAGGAGTAGCTGGAGGGCGTTTTCTAATGAGGGCATTCAGCCCTCATTAGAAAACACTGAAGTCAGTCGAACATCAAGCCAACATAGGAGGAGAAAGTGTCAAAATAGAACAAGCTCTCAAAACAATGGGATTACAGTTTGTAGATGGAACAGCAGGGGTTAGGACTTTAAAAAGGAGAGAGCATATTCACATCCAGAGACTGGCCTGGGTTTTCATTCTCTTAAGAATAAAACTGAATGCATCAGACTGTGATCGTCTGCAGTGCATTCTGTGAACCTGATGAGACTCCACGTGCTGAAGAGGTGCGTGTTCATATTCTAGCCCAAGCCTGGACAAGCCAACCTGTTTTTATACACAACAGGCCCACTACATTAAGTGCTATTCCAAACCAACTCGTGGAGAGGGGCAGTCATTAAACCCTCCAACAGGAGGTCTGCCTCAGTCCTGACTAACCCCCCTCACTACCTGATTCTGTGCATGCCGTTTGTGGCTGTGCAAACATTTACTAGTAAACTGCGCAAAATAAGATAGACATTTAATATTGCCATACTGATGTTAGGTTACATTGTATTTTTATATGTTATACCCATGTCTAGTCTAGAAAAAGTTAGACCTAATTTGACCGTAAAGTTTTATATATTTAGAGACTGTTAACCCCTAACCCTGTCAAGAACTATTTAACTTGAGGGTCTTAAGTTGGTTTCTAAAAAGGCCAGCGCAACACTAGTGCACATACATTGGGATTTAGGATTGCCAATACTAGATTACCTGCTAGTGTCACATTTCTAGCAAAAAGATCTCTATGGATGAATCCCAAAACGGCACACAAGTGTCATTTAACATACTCAAACTTATATTCAATAGATGTATACATTCCTCCAAAATTCACGACATAAGAATGCTATGTCATGTGTGTGTGTATGTGTATGTGTATGTGTGTGGTGTGTGTGTGTGTGTGTGTGTGTGTGTGTGTGTGTGTGTGTGTGTGTGTGTGTGTGTGTGTGTGTGTGTGTGTCAGAGTTCCCGTTAGAATATTTTTTCGCCGGTCAAAATGTCCGTTAAAGTTTCAATCTTCCGGACAAAATTAGAAAAGTGCCGGTCAAAGGTCTTCTTATTGAGCTTTAAAACAAATTGATATGATTCGATATTAAACAAACTAATTATAGTAGATTAACTACATTATTCAAAAGTGTACAGTAACTTACAATAACACGGGAATAATAAACGGAGCGCTCTCTCCCTCTCCTGACAGCCCGTCAGTATCATGCAGCTCGCGGATCCAGTAATGAGTGACCCGACAGTAAAACTAAACATATCTATAACTAGTTTAGGTAGTTTGAGAGGTAATTAAAATAGCTACGTGTGATATTCTAACCTGAAGTGTGTGTTTTGTTCCGCTCACCGCTGCAGGTGATCATGCAGAGCTGCGTGTCGACTCGTCAGCAGCAGCTGATCTCTCTCTCGTCAGATTAGACTTTACTCGCGTTTATCTCCATATCGATCAGATCCAGCTAGTTCTAGCTAATGATATGACTACCTGCTTGTTAAAAGACACCTAAACAATAAGCGTCGCTATGCAACTGGGTGAGGCCACAAAGTATAGCGCAGCATTATGCATTTGTTTACATGCCCACGGGAACCCCGAGGCATTACCAACAGATCAACGCACAATCAACCCATACAGGACATCTCTTTCTCCACATTAAGTGTTAGACATTAGAATTCTGTCTGTCTGTCTGTCTGTCTGTCTGTCTGTCTGTCTGTCTGTCTGTCTGTCTGTCTGTCTGTCTGTCTGTCTGTGTGTGTGTGTGTTACCTTGATTACAGCAGTGTCTGTAGAGTACAGATGTTTGAATAACGCCTGGTAGAGAACTTCTGCTCTGTTGAACTGACGCAGATCAGCAGCAGGCTGAACACAAACACAAACATCATCATCACCATCATCATCATCATCATCATCACATGTACTGCACTGATTGGAGACCACTGACACTGACGCAGTGTGATGGCACAACTACACTCACAACAGAGTCACCACTGTAGGAACAGATAGAGCTGCAGTATGGTAGAGATAATGTGCCCTGAGTGTTTTATCTCCCCCCAATATACAAGTAAATAAAAGTATTGAAACTTGTTATTAGGGTCTGAGACCTAGGTCGGCGAAGACCCTATTGAAATCGGTCGCGCAGCGACCGATAAACCTTTGACCCCTGCAACATATGTGAAAACTCACCAAATTTTGCACGCGCGTCAGAATTGGTGCAACTTCAGATATGTAATTGGTTCCGGAACTTTGCGTCAAAAATTGCGTAGGCCACGCCCACTTCCGTTTTTAACGTAAACTTCCCCCACTTTAACTTTCACGTAAACAAACGAAACTCACTACGCATATCTAGGGTGCGAAGACAAACCAAAAAGCCTCTTGGAGGGGTATACAATAACGTACAGGAAGCCGGCCATTTTGAATTTGGTGTCGGAAAAACGCGATTTATCGCGTTTTTCGTCCTCCGCACGAAATCTATCTTCTCCCAGGGACTTTATCCGTACGACTCGAAATTCGTCGGGTAGCGCCTCGAGACATGGGCAATTCAAAGTTATCACGGAAGTTTTTTTCTTTCGCACGGCGTAGCCGTGAATTGGCGCCAAAGTTCACGTTCGCTCGATGCTAGGCGATCCCTCGCCATGGAACACGATGATGTCATAACGCCAACTGACATACTCAGAACGCCACCAAACTTCACATGATGGTTAACACTATGGCCCTGAACAGCTCTACGTCAAATTTGATGTTACTTAATATGGCGTTACCATGGCAACGCATCCCTCGCCATAAAACACGGTGTCGCTGTAACTCCAATGGACACGGTCCCATCGTCCCCCAATCTTCATTTTTATATCACCGGTCCATGCCTCAACAGCTCTACGTGAAATCTGAGATCTCACCGTAAGCCGTTTCCATGGCAACGAATCACTCGCCGTAAAACACGATGTTGTCTTAAGTCAATGGAAAATGGTCCAAACTGCACCAGACTTCAGATGATGGCTACTAGTCCGCCCCTCAACAGCACTATGCCAATTATGGGATGTCATCATATGCCGTTGCCATGGCAACGCATCCCACGCCGTAAAACACAATGTTGCCTTAAGTCAATGGAAAATGGTCCAAACTGCACCAGACTTCAGATGATGGCTACTAGTCCGCCCCTCAACAGCAATATGCCAATTATGGGATGTCATCATATGCCGTTTCCATGGCAACGCATCCCTCGCCAAAAAACACGAAGTTGCCGTTACTCCTCTGAAAATGGTCCAAACGGCACCAGACTTCAGATGACAGTTAATGGTCCGGCCCTCAACAGCTCTACGCCAATTCTGGGATGTCATCATATGCCGTTTCCATGGCAACGAATCACTCGCCGTAAAACACGATGTTGTCTTAAGTCAATGGAAAATGGTCCAAACTGCACCAGACTTCAGATCATGGCTACTAGTCCGGCCCTCAACAGCACTATGTCAATTATGGGGTGTCATCATATGCCGTTGCCATGGCAACGCATCCTTCGCCATAAAACACAATGTTGTCTTAAATCAATGGAAAAGGTTCCAAACGGCACCAGACTTCAGATGACAGTTAATGGTCCGGCCCTCAACAGCTCTACGTAAAATCAGAGATCTCACCGTATGCCGTTTCCATGGCAACGCATCACTCGCCATAAAACACGATGTTGTCTTAATTCAATGGAAAATGGTCCAAACTGCACCAGACCTCAGATAATGGTGAATGGTCCGGCCCTCAACAGCTCTACGTGAAATCAGAGATCTCATCATATGCCGTTGCCATGGCGACAGATCCCTCGCCATGAAACACAATGTTGTCTTAAGTCAATGGAAAATGGTCCAAACTGCACCAGACCTCAGATAATGGTGAATGGTCCGGCCCTCAACAGCTCTACGCCAATTATGGGATATCATCATATGCTGTTGCCATGGCGACAGATCCCTCGCCATGAAACACAGTGTTGTCATAACTCGATGGAAAATGGTCCAAACTGCACCAGACTTCAGATGACAGTTAATGGTCCGGCCCTCAACACCTCAATATGACAATAGTGAGTTTTCCTCAAAAGTTGTTGCCATGGCAACGCATCCCTCGCCGTTAAGCACGATGTTTATGATACTGCTGTAACTCCTAAATACATTGTCCCACGGCCTGAAACACCTCGACGTGCGGACAACAGCCTGCGGAGCGTCGAAGACCCGCTCAACGCTGCTTGCAGCTTTAATTATTATTGTGATCAATACGTTGACATTATTTCCTTTATTGAAAGCAGTAATACAGTCTAAATACGGTGTATATATATGTATTCACACTGTGTGTGTGCATAAGAGTGTGTTCTCACCGTGTTGAGTACAATGTGATGCAGACAGCGTACTCCCAGAATGCAGTTCTCTTGTCTGAAGTGGTCTGTGAGGAGGAGGGAGGGGGGAAGGAGGCGGGACAGGTGAGGGGAGAGAGAGGGACGAGTCACCTAAACACAGACAAACACAGTTAAAAATGTAACACTTGAGTGGGACATGTTCAATGCACATGGATGTAAACTACATGTAATTGTAGTTTTAGCTTATGAACGCATTAACACATTATGGCTGAATGAAGGTCAAAGGTCAAACCTGCAGGAGCGTCCACGCGAACACGAGCTTCACTGCTTCATAGCGATGCCACAAGTCTCTGCAAAGCAAACAAACAAATATACACACACATGAGGACCCTCCTTGACCTAAAGCAATGTCTTTGCATTGCAAATATGAAGTAACAGATCCTCACTTGGTCAGTTGAGGCTGCAGGATGTCCAGGATTCCTCCGAGAATTCCTCTGTTCTTCCCTTCCTCTTCTCCCTCGTTCGTCTGACTCCCGCCCCCCATCAGGAGGTGGGGGGAGTCCCTCCAGCCCCCTGTCCTCAGCAGCGCCTCCTGCAGGCTCCGAGCCCCAGCTCTGGAGGAGGAGCTGGTCCAGGGCTGGTCCTGAAAGATTGAAAAAACTTAACATTTGATTTGATGGTTTGTTATTTCAGATTTTATATCTTAAAGAGGAAATATTATTTTCAGCTTCATATCAGTATGTAGTGTCTCTACTGGGACATGTCTCCATGCTTTAATGTTCAAAAAGCTCTTTATTGTTCTCATACTGCCTGTGCTGCAGCACCTCTTTTCACCCTCTGTCTGAAAGCAGAGTCCAGTCTGCTCTGATTGGTTAGCTGGTCGGCTCTGTTGTGATTGGTCAACCGGTTAGAGATGAAGTAAACAAAGGAGTCCAATGGAGGCGTTTCAATATTATGTATTATTATTATTATTATTATTATTATTATTCTTGTGCAGAATATCTTCTTTGCAGCATCAGTCATCCGCATTGAAACAAGTAAAACGATGTGCCAAACCCCCCTTTTGTGGGAAGGTGCAATGCAATAACCACCTTTAAGGTACCCATTATATTTGATCATGGTTTTGTTAAGCTAGCTAAGGTAAAGAAACTCTGGCTTTGTCAAACTGGACTCATCATACAGCCTACTGGAGACCTACTTATATGACAGACAGTTGCAAATCCGTGGACTCACCTGGAAATGAGTGACAGCTAACACGCACAAATGTGGAGCTACAACCAGCAGCAGACCAGTCCGACTGCCTCCATTACCCAGAGTTCCTAGGAGCGCTGTGAGGGCAGAGCATACTGCTTGAGCAAGATTTGGGACGCTCTGATAGGCTGCGGCAGGCAATGAGCTGCAGTCGTCTTCACAGAGCGGCAGAGATGCACAGCCAATCAGAGCGCTGACCAGATTGCTGTAAGCCTCCTGAAGCTCCGCCCGCCCATCATCTTGATTGGCTGTGAACAGCCAATTTGGATCTGCTATTTTGAAGAGCTGTTCCACATGACCAATCAGGGCGCTTGTTTCAGAGTCTGAGGAGGCACCAATCAGCTTCTCCTGCAGTTGGGACAGGAGCTCTGTGATAGGAGGAAGGTAGGGAGAGGGGAGGGGCTTATCTGAGGAGGAGGAGGAGGAGGAGGAGGAGGAGAGATGAAGGTCATGAAGCAAAGATGAAAGCTCCATACTGAAGTGGAGGGAGAGAGGAGGATAACAAGAGGATGAGATGATGAAGGAATAGAGAAAAGATGAGGACCAAATGAAACAGGAGGGATAGAGCAGATGACGGGAAGAAAAAGGGAAAATATACACAGAGATATTAACAGTTAACTAGCAAAGTCATACATTTCCTCTCATTCAAATCTTTATTAACAAAGTCTCACAGGCTCACATTAAGGTAAAAGGAATCTGTTTCACTAGCTCTGTGGCAGCTGAACATTCTGGAATCTTAACTCAGCCGCAAAGGAGAGAAATATACCTGATAAGCTAATAAAGATATCCTGTCTGCTGTGTGAGGAGGGCCACATATCAGAGTTGTTCCCAAACCTGGAGAGGACGTATAGAAAGTCTTTCTAAAAGAGAAAGGTGCGCGTTTTGAGTCTTTATCTGAGGCCGTGTTGGAAAGTTGCATATACTTAAGTACTGTACTTAAGTATGATTCTGAGGTATTTGTGCTTTACTTCAGTATTTTCATTTTATAATACTTTACACTTCTTCGCCATTACATTTTGGAGGGAAAATTGTACTAGTTATTTATGCAGGTTCAGCTTATACAAAACAATATAAATCAAGTAATGAATTATGATTTATGATTCCCTTTAGAAAGTCATAGTAAGCTCCACCAGCTGCAACATTTACAATTCAATCCCTTTAATTTTATTATCATCCAGTAATATAAAAAATATATGTTTGCTTGTTTGTTTTCCTATATATGACCAAGGGGTAAGAAGTATTATTATATTTGACTTAAGTAAAACTAGCAATACTAAAAAAAAATAGAAAACTCTGTTACAAGTAAAAGTCATGCATTCAAAATTGTACTCAAGTAAAAGTACAAAAGTATTGTATAATAATAAATAAAAAAGTATAAGTATATTAACGTATTAATGATACATAATGATTATTTAGTTGATTTATTTTCTTTATTATAAATCTATATCTGGTAAGTAGCTGGTAACTTAATTAGTCAAATAAATATAGTGGAGTAAAATGTAAAAAGATGTCCACCAAAATGTAGTAAAGTCAAAGTATAGAGTAGCATAATGTGTAATAAATACTCAAATGAAGAACAAGTACTTCAAAATTATACTTAGGTACAGTATTTGAGTAAATGTACTTAGTTACATTCCACCACTGCGTTTGACATAACATAAATAATAATACATGTTTTACATTCAAATGCTGCAGGTAAATTATGTTTCCAAAGCCAATTTAATATGTATTTTATTGGCCAAGGTGCAGGTGTAATATGAACACACGTGCAAGCCTGATATAACACAAATACTACAATTACTATTTTGAGTATATTATCAAATGTAAACATGTTGGTGATAATCGTTTGACTTTCTTCTCAAACTCTCCATGAAACGCATAAGCGTACCTCATATCAGCAGCTCATTCTCTTCTCCCATCGATGTGAAGAAAGAAGAATATTTTTCTTTAAATTCACTTTTAAATCAGACAGTCAACATGCAGACTGAGAACTACGGTGGTTTTAAAGAGAAGAACAGAGTGTTTGGGAAAATATCTCCGGGTGAGTACAAGCTCCTCCTGAAAGGTTCCGACCCCGCAAAATCTTCACACATCGTCACTGCTGAGCGCGAGGATGATTACATGTTTTAAAATAAATACTGTATATTATTAACCATTGATGTAAAGTAACAAAGTACATTTACTCAAGTACTGTACTTAAGTAAAATGTTGAGATACTTGTACTTTACTTGAGTATTTAAATTGTATGCTACTTAATTACTTAATTACTTTCACTAATTTATGTGTTACCTTTACAGATTTGGATTAATGATATGAAATATAATCAAGTGTTAAATCAGACTTTAGTTCCACCTGGAGTAAATTCACAAGCTACCCTGCAGTATACAAAGTCATTCAAACTAGCTGCACCTTTACCAGCTTTGATAACACTTTAATGATCAATAATTATAAAATATATCATATATATTATTCTGAAATGGGCCAATCTGCACAATGACTACTTTTACCATGGTACGTTAAGTATATTTTGAATCTAATACTTGTATACTTTTACTTGAGTAACCATTTGATTGCAGGACTTTTACTTGTAACAGAGTATTCCTACACTACACTGGTACTTCTACTTTTACTCAAGTACAAGATCTGAGTACTTCTCCCACCTCTGTAAAAATATTTCAAACAAAAGTAATTATAACACAGTGTGGTACTGGTACTAGATAATTCCAAATAGGGTGGTAAATAGAAGTTCAAAAGTAAAAGTACTAAGTATGCAGAATAGCTCATTTCACAATCAGATATTATATAATGAAATTATTATTTGGCTGATGATATTAGGATGCATTGTATGGCATATTCATTTATTCATCTAGTAAATTGTTTTATATTTTGGTAGCTTCTAAATCCGTGTATCTACCGTCCATTTGTTTTTCTTTATTAAACAAGTAAAGGGAAGAGCGTCTCAGAGGCGTTTTTGCTTTTAATAGACAGGGCTATTCACTTAAGAGAAGAGAAAAAAGGAAAGCAAATTGTTATAATGGGTGATGTAACATTAATGACAGACATAATATGAGGTCCTTGGCACTCAGACTCTAGAGGGGTCATTTTGTGATCATGGGGCATCACCCTTGTATACAGCATCAGGACAATATAATATGGAGTCAGACACTGGAAGTGTGCTGGAGGCTGATGCGTTGACTGCAGGGGACTGATGGAAGGATGAGGCTGATGAGACTGAAGAATCTGCGAGGAACGAACTAGCGGCTGAGAAATAATCATATATTAAAAGACAGCAGCATCATAAGAGGCCAACAAGAGTGACAGAGTGTGTCAGTGTGCAGACCAGCTATCCAGGCCAGTCTCTAAAGACTTTCCAAGGTGTAAAACGCTGCTGCCGGAGTACTGACTGGAAGTATTGCTGATATTATGTCTACCATATCCTCTTAAAATACTCTGACCAACAATATAAGTCTCATGAAGAAAGGTTTTTTAATGCTTATTCAAAATAGCAGAGAAACATGCATTCTTGTTCTCAGGAGGGGACATTGACAGAGGATTATTGGAAAAGTACACAGTAAGTACTTCATAGTACTTGTGGGGGTAGTTTCACTAGTACTGAGTCCAACAGGATCAATCTCACGAATAACTAATGGCAACAAAAATTAATTCCCTCATCAAACTTAGCAGAAGTGGCTTGATTTTGTTCTCAGCAGGGGACTTTGACAGAGTATTTCTCAAAAAATACACAGTAAAAGTACTTCAATGTATTGTTAGTAGTAGGCTAACTAATACAAAGTCAAACAGTATCAATTTCATTAAGAACTAATGGTAAAATTGTATTTTTATCATTCATCAAAGATAGCAGAAAAACATGCATTATGGAGGGGACTTTGACAGAGGATTACTCACAAAGTAGGCAGTAAAAGTATTTCATTTTATTTCTGGTAGAAGTCAAACTAGTACCGGGTCCAACAGTGTCAGTTTCCTTAAGAACTTGTGGTAAAAAATATTTGTATTACTCGTCAAATATAGCAGGAATAATGAAGAGCAGCTGAAAAAACAAACTCGAGAGACGGCTGAGTTGACCGCAGTGCAGAATCGCTGTATAGTTTAAATCTCCTAACAATGTTGTACATTTTAGACATAGGCTTATTATATTTGCAGCCCTTAATAACATCCATTTTCTGGGCTCAATATGTGTCTTGGCCGTTTTCGTTGTGATCGCTAAATTCCCCTTGTTTATAATAATCACCGTTCCTTCAGCAGTGATTCAAAGTGTGATTTTAGCAAACGAGTGCTTTTGTTTTGAAATCACTTCCGTGAGTTTAGCCCCGCCCCTCGCTCCAAGGACCATTAGACAATAGGCTTGTTTGAGACGAGCTGCGGCTCGCCTCGAAAGTAGACGAGAATAGCCGATCGCAGCCGGGGGAGGTCTCAAAAAGCTCGCCTGAAGTCGGACAGCTCGGAGTCGGCTTCTTCTTCTTCTTCTTCTTCTTCTTCTTCTCTCGGTTTTTTGGCGGATTTCAAACAACTTTAAGGTGCATACTGCCACCTCCGGAGTCGGCTTGACTCGGTTTGCATTTATAAATGCACACGGCATCTATTGCACGTCTGTCCGTCCTGGGAGAGGGATCCCTCCTCTGTTGCTCTCCCTGAGGTTTCTCCCATTTCCCCTTTAAACTGTGGGTTTTTCTCTGGAAGTGTTTCCTTGTATGATGTGAAACGTAAGGACAGAGGGTGTCGTATTGTCATACTGATATTCTGTACAAACTGTGAAGTCCACTGAGACAAATGTAACTTTTGTGATATTGGGCTATATAAATAAACATTGATTGATTGATTGATAAAGAATGGACAAATGTGTTTAATCGTTAATGTCAGATATGTACTAAGTAAATAAATTTGTTCCTGCTCAAGATTAGATTCAACTTTATTGTTATTGCACAGATTACAGGTACTGAGACAACGAAATGCAGTTTAGCTTCTAACCAGGAGTGCATAAAGCAGTAAAGTGAAAAGTAATGTACACAATCTACAGAATAAAATATAGAATGAATTGAATGATGAAAAAACAGTGAGGGGTATGAATACACTATATACACAGTAGCCTAGCCTAGTATGAACAGTGTGTTGTATGAATATGCAAAGATATATAAAGTATGACAACGGTAAGCAGTGCAAGTATAGTATAAAATATATAGATATTAATGTCATGATGATAAACATTGTGGAACAATGATGAAAAATGTGAATGGAAGTGGCGACGTAAAACTGACACAAAACAACAACACACTTTTGCCGAGCCAATGGAGAGTTTCATCTCCAGCACGGGGTAAAACCCACCAATGAGCGCTCAGCTCGAGATACCAGCGAGTCGTTTCCCATCAAGCATTTCGCTTCCGCAGCCCGGGGAGAGAAACTGCGCCGCCTCGCCGCGCCTCGCTCTCAAGTCTGCGGGCGTCTTTGTCCCGCGAGATTTCAACGTCTCATGTAGGCGAGCCTCCAGAGCAAGTCGGACAAAATGACTAACCATCATGCAACGCACGAGCAAGACGTTGATCGCAATTGCGCAGGTCTGCGCAGGTCTCGCTTGTCTCAAACAAGCCTCATTTTAGTAAGGTAAAAAGCAAAAACGCCTCAGACGCTCTTCCGTTTACTTGTTTAATAAAGAAAAACAAATGGACGGTAGATACACGGATTCTTCTATCCTCGATAAAAGATGGTGAGAGAAAAAAGCATTTGAGGACTTTATTTAAATAAAATCCAAAATGCAATTATTCTTCCAAAAGGAAAAACATGATGAGGTCATAACTGAAGAGACTTAAATTCAGCTTCTAAACATGTTCAGACATGTTAGAGATCAGAGATTCTGGTTTGAAATAAAGTTAATGTTACCATTTAACATCAGACAGACTGTAGTAGTGTTTGCGGTGACATTAGAGGGAGATTAAAGCACATTTAAAAAGACATTTATTTTTCCTGTTTACCATGAATCAGCATCAGAGATCTAGAGTTAAAGTGCTTCCTACCTGTTTACAGACACACAACCACATCAGAGCTGATTCCCAAAGGGTTAAATGCCTTTGATGACCACACACACACACACACACACACACACACACACACACACACACACGCACTCAGATTAACTGCATTTATTCATATTTCAAAGCAGGAGGAAAAGTTTTGAAGCTGCTGTGATCTGCTGTCAGAGGATGTCATTTACACTCAGTTATAACAAACACACGATCCTCAAAAGTTTCCTTTTTAAATATAAATAGTTAAAGTCAAGATAATTAGTCAAGATAATTTATATAGCACATTTTATATGACAGACCTCAACTTAAAATAAAGGTAAATATCATAGGCTGCATGACAAAAACATAGGCTAAAAGATTATTTCAGGCATTAATCATAACATTGAAACAAATAAGATAAGGAGAAATACATGTACAACAACATTTAACAATACAAATATATAAATCTGAAGGTATTACAATAGAAAGGTAAAAAGATTGAAAAGGTACTATTATTGCCCCATTAGCATACAAAAACTGCTAGTTGCTATAGCCACTAATTCTTTTTATAAATATGACCACAGGCAGAGTAGCTTACTTAGAGGCATTCAAACACCCAGGTTAGTGAGTGTTGGAGGACAATCTTAGTGTACAAGTTTATAAAAGAATAAAGATCAATTTAGGATTGAGGATGCTGAATCCATTTCTGACTCTTTCAGTATCAAAAATTGTTGTTTTAACCAGAAAGTGGCCATATTTGTACTCCCAGTGGGCTGATTTATTTTTGAAGCTTTAGGGGACTCTGGATCATTTGGATTGGACAGTTTCATTATTTGAAAAATAATAGTCCACATTAGAGGTAATCATTTTCATCTTGTGCTCTATATCCAACGGTTGCAAAACTACTCATGGTAGTCAACATCATCCCACAGAGAGTACAAATATTGCCACTTTCTGGTTAAAACTGCAAATTCTGATCCTTTCAGAAAT